AACGATGAATCTTTTGCGAACTAGCTCCTTTGAGGCGCCTTGACGGTTTTATGTACAAGAACAAGCAAGATTTCTTATTTTTCCCAAGATCATCCCAAATCTGATACCAATTAATAGGGGAAGCGGTGGCGGGTTAATGAACGTTGCTCTTGTTGAAGAATCAAACCTAGAAAGCTATAGACTCAATGAAGAACAAAGGGGGATGAATAGTAGAAGTTGGCTTCCTTATGAAGGTGAACAATAAAGATGATGATGATGAGGATGGATTTGTGGAAAATAGATAGATAAGTGTTCTATCAAACCCTCTTAGTCACAATGAAAAGGCAAACTCGATAATATGGCTCTAAGTGTCTTATCGAACCCTCCTAGTTGCAATGAAAAGGCAAACTCGATAATATGGCTCTAAGTGTCCTATCGAACCCTCCTAGTTGCAATGAAAAATCAAACTCGATAATATGGCTCTAACCAACCCTACTAGTCACAATGAAAAGGCAAATTGGAGTGTGAAGATTAATCTCCCTCACAAGAACTTGAAAGAACTCCAGGAGAATAAGCTTCAAAGGCACAAGACAATCAACACTTGTAAAAATGAACTCTCGTTGTATTATTAATCAAAGAAATCTATCTTAGAAATTTGAATGAAGCCTATTTTATATAGGGGATGAGTTCTAAAGGTCCTAAATAACTAATGAATAAAATAATAACAAACTAAACATGTCCTAACTCTAATTCCTAATAAAATAATAATAACTAAAAATAATGTTTTAACTTAACCTTAATTCCTAATAAAATAATAAATATAATCCTAAAAGATAATGCATCATCCTATATTAAATTAGATTACAAATAATCAATATAAATATTGAAAATTCATAATATTTACAAAATCACGTATTAGTCTCGTATAGAAATTTCTGAATGTGTTGTCTTCACTAAAATGAACGTATCTGGAGTTACCGATATCGAATTGATGCGATTAAAGAATAAATGGAAAGATAAGAGACAGGTGGTTGTATATTCATAAGAAATGTTGACCAAATAAGAACATTATCTTATTGAAAAGTCATTTCAAATCTGCTGCTGTTATGGTCTTCTTTTCCAAGGCTTGGGCGTGTGGATCATTTGGAAGAGTTATTACTTCTTCCTTTGATGTATGTATCAGATCTCCATAGAGTTACAAGGGTATGGTTTATTTTAATTAAAACTCGGTTAATTCCAACCATGAATTCTTCCATTATTACTTAGGATTGAATCATGCTGCTTCATTCCATTTTATTTGGACGAAAAATTGATGTTGGTAAAATAGTTTCTGCTGAAATATTTGCTTGTGGTAAGAAGACTTTAGGATATTTGTATTTTCCATTGTTAATCAATGTAATGTGCTCTCAAGCACAAGTAATTATTTTACCTGTTGACAATATTATAGAGAACTGGACACCAATCACCCCTGCTGCTGTAAGGAGATCACTACTGAAAGACGGGCTAGATCCTAGTGATATAGAAGGTGAGCCATCAAATCCAATTACCACAGTGCAACTCCCACCAGTGGACAATTATAATATCTATTAATGCTAAGTTAGATCAGACTATGGCATTGCTGAGTTGTTCGTTTGAAAATCAGTCCCAGATACACAACGCCCAGGTTCAGTATTATGAGTATGCGCAGAATAAAGATTTAGCGACCAAGATCATGTTTGTCATTCTATTCAAAGAGGTTGAAACTCTATTTTAATTTTTCTCAAAGAATATATTACAATATATGATGCAGACAACAATGCCTGATGCTGGCCATAGTTCATATAATACTAAGACTCTTAATATTACGTAGCCAAGAGGAGAAGAAGAGACCATGGCTACCGATACCAAGTCAATAGAGGGTGAATAGGAGGTTCAAGGTAACGAAGAAGAGGGTGACAGTGAAAAAGAAGAGGAGTCAGAGAAAACCACTGAATTTTTACTTATGGATGAGGAAATTCCAGAAGAAGAAGAGCATGTAAGCAGTGATCAGCTGTTAGAGAAGGCTACAGATAGAGCTAATGCCCTGGAAAAGTAAGAAGCGACTTAGTTATTAAATTTGAATGAAACCACACCTGCAGGAGATGCTAGTGTTGTTGATGAGCCTGAGTTAGACGCAATGACAATGATACGTAGTGTACTCGTCGCTATAGATAAATCAGTTGTTGCGAGTCATCCATAGAGCACTCCCATTGCACAAGTCGTCGGCTCTAAGAGACCAAAACCAAAAACAAAGAAAAAGTTGGATGTCATAGCATCCACAACTCTAGTCTCTGATGCTACTATGGTAGGAGCCATGTCAACGACGGCTAGTCAAAAGAGAAAGAGCTCGGTGAAGGCAAAAACAAAGGCAAAGAGTCTCTATTCGAATGTTCTTAGCCCGCACAAAAGCCCTATGAAACCCATTTAGGGGATTTTTGCTTCCCTTTCTTATATTTTAGTTTGTTTTAATCTCTTTTATTGTTTGTCTTGCATGTATTAGGGATAATGCATCCGATAGATTTGGGGGTGTGTTGTGAAATTTAATTGTTGCATTTAGGAATATAGTTTACGTATAGAATTGCATTGGTAATACCTTAGGATAATTTTGAAAAAAATAATGAAGTACTTAAAGGAATTTTGATGATGTCTGATGATGAATATTAATTGTAATGAAATGCTATAGGAAATGTTATAGAAACCTTTCGAAATAAGGGTCTTTAGATTTTTTTTACACATAGGTGTATATTTTCAATACTTATAGAACTGAGAAACTTTCAAGCTCTAAGCCTCTTATCTTTATTAGATGATATAGCAGTTTAAAAAAATGAGAATTAGGAAATAAGTTGGGTAATGCTGGTAATAGCTCCAACATAGTGAGATAAATAAGTTGGAACGCAAATATTGGTAAGAAAATATTATTGTAGCATTGAATACCTTTAACAGAGTAGGTACAAATTTTTTAACTTAGCTAAGTATTGATTGGATACACCTATATTTCACATAATACACTTCGAGGAATGTGATTTTGAGAGGATGAAAAGGTATTTTCTTATTTGAGATTACATATATGATTTATATTATTCGTTGAGGGCTAAAAAAAAGCTTTTCAAATTGTTTATTTTTTTCTTGGTTATTCTATGGCATTGATGTTAGTTTAGGTGTTTCATGCATGTTTTGCTTGAAGATAAGAAAACACTTAGGTTTGGGGGTGTGATAACTCTTCAAAGGAGTTATCTTTAGTAACCTTGAGTACCTAGGTTTAGTTTGAACTTAAGCATATTTAGGAATATTTTAGGATTACATTTACTTAATTTAACATATTTTGCATGGTAGAAGCATAGTGAGTTGCCAAGGGCTAAATTTGACTTTTGCTGCTAAAACATTATTGCACTGATTCCGTAGCACTGTAAGAAATAATGATCTGATAATGCAGTGGTCATCTAAGATCTAGATGGTTGGAAGCTTCTGGATTGGGATAGTTAGCTCGAGTAGCTGTCAAGTGGTTGAATAATATCTAAAACGTTGACCTTTTTCATTGGCAATGAAATTATCATCCAAGTTATAAAAGGGGAGCACTTGGGGTGCAAAAAGTCTGATGATTGTAAGAGACCCCAAGAACCATTTTCCAAGTTATTTCTTTTCAAGCCATGGATGGCTAAATCCTATACCAGGGATTACTGCAGTATAAAGAAAGCTTGCTGAGGAGCTTCAGAAATCATTGAATCACTATTCAATGCCTTGTATTGTGATAGAGAGTGTTTTAAATAATTAAAGTTTTGTTGGAAGTTTATTATGAATTTCTTATTTCGTGTTTACTTGGATACTTGATTTATGGACCTTGAACTTCATGATTATGAGTATACATATTTGCAATTAGATATATAGTTTGTTCGTTTAAATCTAGAAATAGTTTCATTCAAATTGCTATATACATGTGTGAGCATTGGTGTTGCTGAGTAGAACAGGTACATTGAAAAGTGTGCAGCCGATGGATAAGTATTGTTGATAATTTGAGCCTTTAATTAATAAAAGTTACTAAATAGTTCAAATGGTCTTAATCAATGTGATCACATGATTAAGTACACAATTTTTGCATAAAATTTTGAAGTCATAATATCACATCATTTGATTCGATAGCTGACCAATTGCTTTCTAGAATGTTGTAGCATGAACTGGTCTTTTTCGTTATTGATTTCAATATTTTCTATCTAGCATCTCATTTTTTTGACACATCTTACTGTTAAAAACTTTAATGATAACATTTTTTTCCTGTGGGTTTGACATTCAAACTCTCATAGTTTTTACTTTATTACTTGATTTACGATATGTTCACTTGCGTTGAATGCTATAGCATTTTCGTAGCATCATGTTTTTGGCGCCTTTGTAGGGGAGCATCGTGTTTGATTTAGAGTTCTTTTGATTTTGCTTACTTGTTTGTTTTCTATTATTGGTATTCTTAGTCTCCATTTTTAGTAGTGTATGCCTCAAAGCTATGATGACTTAAAGTCATTTGATCCAGAGATTGAAAGAACATTTTACAGACGTCGTTATGAAGCTACTATGGTTGGACGAGGGAATGGTATTTTACCCCTTCTGTAGAATGGAGAGAATGATGAGTTACCAGCTGACATCGAAGCTGAGCAGCCACATCATAATTTAGATGATCAAAATCGCCCTATTTGTGAGTATGTGGTGCCGATATTGGATAATTTGCATCCGAGCAATGTAAGGCCAATTATTAATGCGCGAACTTCGAATTAAAGCCACTTATATTCCAAATGCTACAATCTATGGGAAAATATGGAGGTTATGTTGCTGAAGACCCTAAAGCCCATTTGAAAGCTTTAATAGAGGTTTGTGATCCTTTTATTCAACAAGGTGTTCTGGAGGAGGCCCTGAAGCTAAAGTTATTTCCATATTCATTGTCGCCAAGTGTTATTGCATCGTGGAATGAATTACTGTAGAAGTTCTTGTCAGGATTTAACCCGCTGAATATGAATGCTAATCTTCAAAATGACTTAACTTCATTCAAGCATATGGATGATGATAGATTGTATGAAGCATGTGAAAGATTTAAAGATTTGTTGTGGAAGTGTCCTATGCATGGTTTCCCATATTGGACTCAAATGAATATGTTTTATAATGGGTTAAACATTCACACTCAAATGGTGGTTGATGCCTCAGCAAACAAAGTTTTGTTAGATAAGATATACAATAAAGCATATGATATCCTCGAGAGAATCTCCACCAATGATTGTCAATATCTTAATACGTACAATGTGTTTGGTCGGCGTGGTACTAGAACAGTAGACCCAGAAGCATTCAACTATATGACTTCTTAGATTTGAGCATTGACTAAAACAGTAAATAAATTGCATAAGCCAGGATGAATGTATGAAGTCAAAGATGCATCTCTTATCACTTGTGTATATCAATGGTGATGATCATACTTTTTATGAATGCCTCCAAAACCAAGAGTCTATCTATTACATGCAGAATTATCAAAGGAATGATAATGCATTTAGCCACACATATAACCCAATTCCAAAAATCATCCTAATCTCTCTTGAAGAAGTCATAACGTAGCCAATCTACATCATAAGAAGTATCAACAACAACATTAGTAGAGTCAAATTTCGTAGCGACATGCATAACAATATGTTGGTCAGGCTCAACAAAGGTAGAATTATCAAGGTCAATCTTTGAATCAAACTTCAACATTGACACCTTTTGAAGCATGATGAAAGAATATATGGCTTTCCAATCTTCCTCAATACGGGCTATAGAGAATCTGATGGGACAAATGGCTAATGCCGTAAATAGTCGATTTCCAGGATCGTTACCTAACGACACTGAAAGTCTTAAGCAAAATGGTAAGGTGCATTGTAAGGCCATTAGCACAAGAAGCATAATTCATATTGGGGAAACAATTGAAGAACCGAGGAGGAAGAATGAGGAAACTCATCAGTTTGGTAAAGAGAATAGCAAAATGATTGAGCCTGAACCGCATGAGAGTCAATTCACAATGGATGTGGGGCAAAGTAGTAACACATACTCATTTCCGACACAACCCCAACTTCATCTAATATAGAGTCGACTCCATTACCTCAACAAAATAATCGAAAATGCCTCCACCATTTCCACAACACTTCAAGAAAAAAATGAAGATCAGCAATACAAAGCTTTCATTGATGTCATTCGCCAACTCACAATTAACATTCCAATGATTGATTCTTTAGAGCAAAACCCGAATTATATCAAATTTATGAAGGAAATTCTTTTGAAGAAATAAAGACTGGCGAGTTTGAGACAGTCGCTCTTATTGAAGATTGTAGCGCTATGGCTACAAATCAATTTCCAAAAAAGCTTAAGAATCCAAGGAGTTTCATTATTCATTGTAACATTAGTGAAAATTTTGTAAGTAAATCTTTAAGTGATTTAGGTACTAACATAAATCTAATACCATTGTCAATCTTTAGGAAATTCGGAAGAGGTGAAGCAAGGTCCACTATGGCTACTTTGTAACTTATTGATCGCTCTACCGTGCATCCTAGTGGTATTATAGAGAACATGCTTGTGCGAGTGGATGTTTACCTTTCCTATGGATTTTATCATTTTGGATTATGAAGCAGATAAAGATGTTCTAATTATTCTTGGTCCCCTATCCCTTTCTACAGGTTAAGCTTTGATTGAGGTTGAAAAAGGAGAATTAACTATGCGTTTGAATGATGAACATATTACTTTTAATGTCTTGAATAATGTTTCTTACATCAATGACAACGATGACTATTTTTCACTTGATGTGATTGACATCTTTGCACAGGATCACTTGGAGGAATGTTATAGTGCATATACAACTTTATGCGATTTAGAAGCATTTGAAGAATTCTTGACGGATGAAGTCTAATACTGTAGCAAGTATCTCCATAGCTTAGAACCTTTGCAAATATAGGATCATTTCATTCAAGCACCAATTACATCTATTGAAGAACCACCAAAGCTTGAATTGAAAACTTTTCTGGAGCATTTGAAATATGCTTATCTCGAGGAAAGTGAGACATTGCTAGTCATTGTGGTAACACAACTTACATCATCACAAGAATTTATCTAAATGATGTGTTGAAGCAACATAAGAAGGCTATTGCATAAAGCATTGATGATATAATAGGCATTATTCCAACATTTTGTATGCATAAAATTCTTTTAGATGATCCCAATAGTAGATCAATTGAACACCAGTGAAGATTACATCCGATCACGAAAGAAATGGTTAGAAAATAGATTATAAAATGGTTGGATATTGGGATTATAAACCCAATTTTGGATAACAATTGGGTTAGCCTGTACAATGGGTTCCAAAGAATGGCAACATTATGTGGTAACAAATGATAAAAATGAATTAGTGCTGACAAGGACCACTACTGGTTGGAATATGTATGAACTATAGGAAGCTAAACAAAGCAACAAGGAAATACCATTTCCCATTGTTGTTTATAGACCAAATGCTAGATCGACTTGCAGGTAATATTTTTTGTTTTTGGATGGATATAGTGGCTATAACCTAATTGATATGCTCAGGAAAATTAGGAGAAAACAACTTTACATGTCTGTAGACACATTTTCTTTTCGTAGAATGCCATTTGGGTTCTAAAATGCTCCAGCGACAATCCAACGCTGTATGATGGCTATTTTCTATTATATGATTTATGATTACCTTGAAGTTTTTGTGGATGATTTTTCAGTTATTGGGTAGGACTTTGAGAAGTGTTTGAGGAGAACAACTTAGTTTTGAATTGGGAAAAATGCTATTTTTTGGTTACGAAATGAATAGTGGTAAGACACCGAATTTCAACCCGTGGAATGGAAGTGGATAAAGCAATAATAGAAGTTATTGAGAAATTTCCACCACCTACTAATGTGAAGTTAGTTCGAATCTTTCTTGATCTTGTTGGTTTCTATAAAAGGTTTATTAAAGATTTCTCCTAGATTTTTAAGCCGTTGTGCTCAATGTTGGAGCAAAGCAGTAAGTTCATTGTTAATGATGAAGTGGTTCAATCTTTTGAGATAATTAAATTGAAGTTAGTGAATGCCCCTGTTGTTATGGCACCTAATTGGAATTTGCCCCTTGAATTAATGTGTGATGCTAGTGATTTTGTTTAGGGCAGTGTTGGAGTAACAAAAGAATAAATGTTTCATGTGATACATTATGCAAGTAGGACACCGAACGAAGTTAATGTCAACTACACCACAACTGAAAATGAGTTGCTTGCAGTGGTGTTTTCTTTTGACAAATTTCATTCATACTTGGTGGGTACAAAAGTGATTGTATATACTGATCACTTAACACTGAAGCATTTATTCACTAAGAATGATACATAACCTCGTTTTTTTGATGTGTACTTTTACTCCATGGAATTTGATATTGAGATTCGAGATAAGAAGTGATCTGAAAATCAAGTGGATGATCACCATCTAGGTTAGAGTCTGGCAGCGAAGATGGTATCATTTGGTAATTCCATATGAATTCCCTGGTGAGCGTTTGTTGCCGCTACAACATACTATGGAATGTTGATATTACCAATTATCTAGTTAGTGGGATGATGCCACCAGACCTTAATTACAAGGCCGAAGGAAATTTATGTAGGATGTGAAGCAATACTATTGGGAGGAGTCGTAATTATTTAAGCAATGTAATGATCAACTTATGGCAATGTATCCCTCAATGCAAGCAACAAAGCATTCTATAGCATTGTCATAGTACCCATAATGGACATTTTGGCGGTATACATACAACAAAGGAAGTCCTTTAGTGTAGATATTACTGGCCATCACTTTTAAAGATGCTAAAAAACTTCGTAAAGCTTTGTGATCACTGCCAACAAACAATGAATATTTCTAAGCAAAAATGAAATGCCAATGCAACCTATTTTGGAGATCAAGCTATTTGATATGTTTGGATTAGATTTTTTGGGTCCATACCCTTCTTCATGTGGCAACCTTTTCATTCTAGTTGCTTAGACTATGTATCTAAATGGTGGAAGTTGTAGCCTTTTCGAACAACAATGTTAAAGCAGTATTACGACTCTTGCATAAAAACCCTCATGCATTTATTAGTGATGAATGATCTCAATTTATTTGTCATCAGGTTGCTAGAGCATTGAATAAATATGGAGTGAAGCATAAGATTGCTACAACATATCATCCATAATCTAATGGCCAACCCGAGGTGTTTAAAGTGAAATCAACAAATCTTGAGAAAGTTGTGAACCCTTTTCGAAAGAATTGGTCCACTGCCTTTAAGAAGCACTATAGGCTTATAGAACTTCTTATAAGACTCCATTGGGAATGTCTCCTTATCATCTTATTTATGGTAAAGCTTGTCACTTACCTGTGGAGTTAGAGCATAAAGCTATGTGGGAATTAAAGAGACTAAATTTTGATAGATGTTGCAGGCGAAAAACAGATGTTGAAGCTTAATGAATTGGAAGAAATTCAAAAATAATGCCTATGAGAGTTCACGTATTTATAAACAAGAGAAAGAAGTGGTATGATCAGAATATTTTCCCAAGGGAATTATTGCTGGACATCAAGTGTTGTTATTCAATTCGAGACTAAAATTCCTGGGAAATTGCGTTCTCATTGGTCAGACCCCTTCAAAGTTCTTGAAGTTTTCCTCCTGGTGCAATATTATTGAAGAACTTGGTGGATGAAAGAACATTTAAAGTCAATGGGCAACGTTTAAAGCATTATTTCAGAAACAAAGTCTGAAAGTCACTGCAAACATTAAGCGACCCCTCTTCTTTTTAATAAGTCAATTCTTTTGACATTATTTTAAGCACTTATTTTCTTTATTTATTTTTGTACAGTTTTTCGTTTGATCAATCTTAGTCATTGGTTTTATACTACACAACTCTTCACGTTATAGTATACATTCATCGCTGTATGGAGCCATAACAATACAAGGATACCAAATGGGCAACGTTTAAAGCATTATTTCCAGAAACAAAGTCTGAAAGTCACTGCAATTACATTAAGCGACCCTCTTCTTTTTAATAAGTCAATTCTTTTGACATTTATTTTTAAGCACTTATTTTCTTTATTTATTTTTGT